GCTGGTGTTTTGCATTTAGATCTGCACCTAGGAGGAAGTGGTGTCCTAAGGAATTCAGGAAGGAAATTATTTGGGATTCGGAAATGGGTGTTTTAGGTGGGGAATATGCCGCAACTAGTGTTATTGGGTAAAGGGGTGTTTGGATTATTACGGCTGTGGATTGTAGGAAATTATGGCTTGGTAAGGGAAACAAATGATGGGAAACGGATCGATGGATAATTATGGCAGTGCCACCATGTGCTGTTCCATCAGGATGGTCGGTTCGATAAATATTGTAGCCGGGCACGTTGATTTGTCGTTTGTTGGTTAGTCGAGTTTCAGTTATTAGTGCTATGTCGATGTTTTTGTCATGTAATAAGATTGTCAGTTCGTTGATGTGGTTCCGAATACCATTCGCATTCCAGAGGAGAATGGAGAGGAATTTGGTTGAGGACATTTATGGATTTCTTGGCAGTGGAATGAGGTTGGATATAACATTGGTAAGTAGCGAAATAAGGGGGGTAATGAGAGATCTAAATTCGGAAAGGAAAGATGTCAATAGGCTTGTGAGGTCAGTGGAATTGGAAGGAGGAGGAATGAATGTGTGAGTATTTAACCTACGTTCAGGGATGGAGGGATATGGGTCTTGAGGTTGATGTGTGAATTCTTGAGGTTTAGATTCTTGTGGCAGGGCCTGAGATTGAGTGTTTACAGTGTCTCCTTTGAACATCTGAGCATAGGACACTCTTCCGTTCACTGTTCTATAGGGTTGTCTTGGTGGCCTGGATGTCCCTTCTTCTCTAGGCGTTGCGTACATTCGTGTTTTCAAATCTTTGTAAGTTTGACAACCCTTGTAGTTGGCTGGGTGTCCTTGGTGGCATAAAGCGCATACTGCAGGTGAAGTTCTAGACTTCCTACAGTCCTCTGTTTTGTGTTGCTCACCACACCTCACACATCTAGGAATGTGATGACAATACCGTTTCGTATGGCCATAAGCCTGGCAGTTATGGCATTGAACGATGTCGCGCTTGCTGTAGGGCTTTTCTACAACAACGCTTGTATAATAAAGGCGTGTGACCTTGTAGATGTTTTCGATATCAGGTGTTCGGTCAAGGTCAACGAAGAATAGTGGAAGAGGTATTTTATTTTTTATTCCAGGCTGTTCTCTATCCTCCTTAAATATGTTCACTATCTGGCGAACATGGAATCCCATACCCGTGAGCTCTTCTTTTATAGCATCTGTTGGCGTAGATGGGTGCAGTCTTCTGATAACGACCCTGAGCGCCCTCTCTTGACGCAGTTGATACGTGTGGTAATCAGCCTTGGTGTCAGATAAATATTTTATGATTTTTCTATAGGTTTCTGGAGTGTCGGGCATTAACTTAGTGTCATTGGTGCGGCTTTGGCATAAATATTTTCCTGAACCTACCAGATTATTCAATTGATTACACATCAATTGAAAATTTTTAATATTTCTAACAAATATTGGTGGGGGTTTGGGTTCTCTGGGGATGGATGCTGCTTCCATTTGTTCGTTGTTTATATTTGAAAGCACTTCAAATGGATTCGAAGTGAAAAACGGCGATTCTTCACCCATAGCTTGAGTTGTCTCATAATTGTTGGGTTGTTGTGAGGAGCCAGGTTGGGGTTCCACTTCTTCTATGGAGCTCCCTGGTGTGGCTGGTGGAGTGTTTCTTTTCGAATGCCTTGTCTTTTTTTTAATGGGAGAACTAATTGTAGTATCCAGGCTCCTGGACCTAGTGTTTTTGCCCTTACTCGACATTAGCATGTGATAATATCGCATTTCATATTTATTTTTAAAAGAAAAATTGATAAAAGTGAAGAGAGGAAAAAAAAAAAAAATTTATTGAACACGAAAATATAGACGCGCTCTTGGAGAGCACAGATCTGCCTCCGACGGAGGGATCTAGCCCACTGGTATTAACGACTGTTGCAGCTTATGGCTGGCCGTTATCTAACTAACCTAAGGTCTATTTACACTGTTCACTCTTGTGTTGTAAATAAGTGATTACTCACCTTATTTTTTTGTCCAGTATAAACGTAATTGTTAATGTAACTGATAGCACTAATTGTTCACATTAAACTTGTATACTGCCACTGATAAATGAGATTTTTATAAGAGACGACCTGACGTACGTTTAACTAGGGCTAACGCATCTTGAAATATATAGAAAAGATAGCACAAACCAAAACCACAGAGTTCTAATAGCTGTATATAAATCTGTTTATTCAGAATTCATTCTAATTGACTTCCATCTTCAATCTATTGCAGTCAGAGTCCAGCACTGTTTGACTTTTTCAATTTGCAATATATATCTGCCACAAGATCGTTCAATTAACTCACAACATGTTTTTGATGTTTACAACCAACTTCCTCTTCCTGTTCTATTTATTGGGGATCTCAATGGCCACAGTATTCTATAGAGATCCCAAGACATTAACATATGGGTTAAAATTATAGAAAATTTTTGTAGACATCTCTAATCTTCTCCTGCTCAACACTGGAGAGAAAATATTCCTCAGTTCTAGAATGGAACTAACTCAGCTCTTGACCTTTCTTTCAGCAATTCCGCCCTCTACAACACTATAGTAGCGATCATTTCCCAACACCTATGAAATTCATAAATATTAAACCCACACACGGGAAACCAAGATGGATACTAAACAGAGCATATTGGGGTATTGGGATTGCTATTGCCTCTCCATCTTAAACCTCTCTATCCAAAGTAAATATTGACAAGGACTGTGAAATCATTACCAATATGATCATTCAAGCAGCTAAACCATCGATACTGATGACCTCGGGTCTTCTAAGAAGACTGCTTTTTCTGTGGTTTAATGATATCTGTAAAAAAACTATCAAAGAATGTCATATAGAATAAGAATTTTTAGAATTCTATGAAGTCAGAAAATGTAATTGAATATAAAAAAACAGTGGGCGATATGCAGAAAACTATTCAACCAGTGTAAAGCTGAGTCTTGAAAAAATTTATAAGTTCCATAATTGCCTCTACAACGTCAGCTGAAGTTTTGGAACAAAGTCATAAACTCACTAGAAATACTCCATCCTCCTGCTACACTATCACAGTCAATGGACAATTGTCTGATAATCAGTTACTAATTTCAAATACATTCTCAGATTTTTTAGACAGAATCTTTAACTCCGAAACTAATAAAACATCTAGGTGAAACTAAAATATGAAATATATCCTCAATTCCATCAAAGGAACAATACCTGATCCAGACAATATTCATTATATGATTAAAAATCTTCCTCTTGACACACTTAAATAGTTCCTCAAACACTAAAATCATGTCTGGTTCACTTCCCAGATTCTTTAGTTATTCCTATTCTAATGAACCAAAAAGACTAGTAGCTCCCACATAGTTATTGCCCTATATTCCTCACAAGGTGCTAATCTGGAAAACACATATTTCAAACTTAAAAATGAACGCAACCAAAAAACTATCCATATTAAGATATCTAAGTGATACCTCCTGGGATTCGGTTAGGACCACCCTATGTAAACTGTACCACACATTAATTAATTAAAATGATTCTTTACATTTCTGGATCCTTAATAAACTTGATACAGTACATCATACTGGCATTAGGATTGCGACGCGCATTCCGAACCAGCCCCATTCTCAGTTTTTTTTTCTGAAGCAGGAGAACCCCTCTTTTATTTAGAAGAAAGAATCTCGTCTTCTTCATAAAATTCTGGAACCATTTTTAATCTAGGCCAATGGACCCACAGCATCTTCTTATATTACTTGTGATATAAAACAAAATAAACTATATAAATTATGTAGTATATACACAGCTGAACTTCTCATAACAGCCTCAACGATTTCTCCATGCCGATAAATGCCTCCAAAACAATAGTAATAATAACAGATTCATTGCGTTCTTTAAAAGTTATTAACAATATATATCCAACCATCCAACTATTTTAAAAATCTATGCTCAAAAATTTGAGAAAGTCAATATATTTTATCTGGGTGTAGGACCACATGGGAATCACTGGAAATGAGCTCGCGGCATCCAAGTAAGCATTCACCCTCTGAGGCCGGGGTGCTGCCATATTAACACCACATGACACAAGCCTTCCCCTCAAAAATAATATTGCTCTTGGCTGTCAATCCATGTGGAATAAGAGCCCAACGAACAAATTAAACAAAATAAAAAAATCAGTAAAACCATGATCCATCTCGAACTGCCCTATTCGTAGAGAGAAAGTTACTTAACTAGATTAAGGATAGGATATACAAATGTAACATATTCTTATCTGACATGCAAACAGCATGCACCAAAATGCCAACACTGCTAGAGTACTCCCACAGTCAGCCACATTCTCCAAGTTTCCTTAGTACTCCACTGTTGGTGGATCCAGGATTTAATTTTGCGGGGGGGAGAAGAGAATTTTTTTTCATATATATAACGATAATTAATTTGACAAAAAGAAAGATGAAATTAACTACCTATATGAAATGGTGTTTAAGGGATTCTTGAAGTCCTATTAAATGTAATTACACGAACAATAATACTTTAAGAGATAGTTTTTAATATTTTTTTCTATAAAACATGGTTATATTTTACTGTTTTGGGGAGGGGCTTCAGCCCGATAGTCTCCCTCCCTCTCCCCGTAGATCCGCCTGTGCTCAGTATGTATTAATTCTAACCAAATTAGGACTCATACCAAAATTATCATGGTTTTAAATAATGAAGAAGTTAAAATAAAATAGGTGATAAATTTTATTGAAGTTAAAAATTTGCTTAACAAAATTTATTTTTGTAATAATTTATGGTTGAGATTATTGAAATGAAGATTAGATAGAGATTGATAACCTCTGGAATTTACGCCTCTAAGGCCTAAATAACAAAAACAGTGCAATATTGGAGCTTCAAAAATATCTTCTATTGAACTTGACCAAATATATTGCTTATATTTGTTACTATCCAAGTTATGTGTCTAATTGTATATTTCTTTGACTTTCAGACTTTAGAGCCTTTACTACTGGATATATACAAAAGTTTGAAGCACATATATAAGTATGATAAGGATGATATTACCCGCCTCCATGCACAGATGGCATTAGAAGAGCTTCATGCTTCAACTGTTACTTTCTTGTTCCCTGTGAAGCCTCTTGAAAAACAAATATTTGTATTAGGTGCTCCTAGGTAATGAAGTTGCAATATTAATTTTCATTTTTCTACTGATCCTAATATCAGTATTTTACATCATTGAAGTTTTAATAAAAGATATTTATATACTTTTTAAATATATTTTTTTATTTTAATAACTTGATTTCATACCTCATGGGTGTTGTTCCTTTCCACCTTCAGTTATTTAAAAACAATACTATTGTTGTATAATAAATATTTAATAATGTATAAATATAAATCAGTGTCAAGCTGGCTGGCAGGATGGGAATGGCTACTTATTTAGAATGTTTGCTTATAGTTAGATTACTCTCCCTTACCTCCAATTCCATGTTCATTTCCTGCTTGAAAATAAAAATAGGTAATGACATAAACTAACTTATACATAAGCCTTAGTTATGTGTTATGTGCCATTTAGAAGTGCCGAGGGTTCTTCAGCTTTCTTTCAAAAACATTCACTTCTTCAAGAGAAATAGTTATTGAAATTAACATACTCTGTTAATTTTATTTGGTTATTGATAATTTTTAGATTTTTAGGAAATGAGTTTGTGAACCATTAATCATTTCATTTATTTGTATTTAGTTTGTTTTGAACCAATTTGACTTGTGTTAATTCAAGATCTATAATAAACCAAAATTTTTAGGAATTTCTGAAAATTTTGCTTAGTCCTTATAATTCATTAGTCGACTACTTACCCATTTCTAAAACTTAAATAATTAATATATATATATATATTTTTTTTTTTTTTTTCGGTTGGCTCTACAGACCTTGTAGATCTTTGGCTGCCTGAACCAGCCTATCTTTGGCTACTGCTTTCCAGTTTGCGGCATGAAGCTCAGTTGTATCTTTGTTTATCCTATCTATCCATCTGCTTTTTGGCCTCCCACGTGGTCTCTTGCCTACTCTGCCATTCATTGTTGTGTAAAGGCATCCTGATGAATTGCTACGAGCTACATACCCTGCCCATCGCAATCTCCTCGCAATCTCATGTAATGAGATATTGACTGATCTGTTTCAGCAGTTCTTTATTGTTCCTTCTCCTCCATGTGTCAAGGTTCTGGTTCCATATAGGTCCTATTACCCTACGTAAAATTTTTCTTTCGAATCTCAATTCTTGGCTTCTAGTGTGCCAGTTAGAGCCCAGGTTTCACAACCGTACAGCAGAACTGGCTTAATCACGGCGTTGTACATCCTTATTTTTAGATTTCTGGATTTCAGTACCCTTGAAAGAGAGAAGAAAGATCTGTTCGCACTTGTTATTCGCTGGCCTATCTCTTTTAGTTGATCATTTATTGAAGTTATTGTGGAGTCGAGGTATTTGAATCTGTCTACTTTCGGGAATGACTTAGAGTCCACACAGATCATGTTAGGGTGGATGTTTCAGTTAACTATCACGTATTTTGTTTTATCTACATTGACTTTTAGTCTGATTCTTTTAACAGAGTTCGAGCGAGTCTCTCAATATCCTCTTGATTACTTCCGAGGAGAGCTATATCATCCGCATATGCTAGGATTTTGTGTTTCATTCCACTAATATTGTTCTTATTACTTTCTCTAGTGCTAAGTTGAACAGCATCGGCGAGAGTCCATCTCCTAGCCTCAAACCTGTTCAAACTTCAAAGGCTTCTCCTTGTATTAGTACCCTACATTTAGGATCATTTGTACACGCCTTCGTCAACCTCACTAACTTCCCGGGAACACCCAGCTCAGTCATTTTCTTCCAGAGACAGTTTCTGTCCACGGAGTCATAGGTTGCTTTGAAGTCGACAAATAATGCGTGTACATCCTGATCTACTTCATATCGTTTTTCAAGTACTTGTTTTAGGATGAATATCTGATCTAGCGTACTCTTTCCCCTCCTGAATCCTGTTCTGATTTAGCAGAATATTAGTCATTATTTTATAGGCGAACGGAAGAAGTGTTATGCCTCTGTAATTGCCACATTCACACATAGGACAGATCAACCCTGCGTTTCATGCTTCTGGTATCCGTTCCTTCTCCCATATCTTCTGGATTAGATCTTAGAGTTTGGCTCTGAGGTATTCTCCCCCCATCCTTGAACAATGCTGATAGTAGGTTGTCTATACTTGGAGCCTTTCTTCTTTTAAGCCTGCCAATAGCTATTTATACATCCAGAATATCTGATTTTTTAACCTCAAGTGGGTTGATGTCCTCAATATGGTCCATGTCTTCTTCGTTTGTCTTTTTCCTGTCGGCTGTGTATTTGTCCAGCAAGCAGAGGACTTTTCTTCTTACTTTTATATATATATATATACATGTTAATTATGATTTATTCTATTACTTTTATTTATTTCCCAGCAAGAAATGAACGTGGTAATTACAGGTTAAGGCGAGTAATCTTATCAAACATTCTAAATAATTAGGCACCACACACCCTACCAGCCGATGTGCCACTCCTCTATATTTCTGGTTAATCTGTCCACGTATTCAGCCTTCAGAGTTGAAAATGAAATGCAATATTATAATGTTAATTAACTAAATTGCCATCACAAAATTACATGGAAAATATTAAAATGGATTTAAGTTTATATCTACAATTTATGTTCCTACAGAAGATCACAATAAAACATGATTTAATAATCATGGGCTAGTTAAAAATTTTATAATAATTTATGTTAAGAACTCTGATATAAATTAATTTATTAATGTTTCTAGGATTGTATAAAATGAATTCTGTTTTGTATTTTCATATAAATTAAAGTAAAGCCACAAAGTATATTTAAACAAACTCACCTTAATTAAACTTCATTAGAAGAATAGTTAAAAAACAAAACATATTCAACATAAATGTAAAGCGGTACTATACCAAAAACTTAAACTGTATTTTTTGTCATTGAAAATAAATTTTAAAAATTTATATATTGTATATGTAGAGTACTAGACTCGCCAATAAAAAACAACATTGAAAAAAAAAATATTTTGATACAGAAGTGATATTATTATCTCAAAGAGATGTAAAACTTTAAACACGGTTTCTTAAAAACTTGAGTATTGATGTACGAGTTGTGCATCTTTCATTATTCATTATGCATTTAGTTGTCTGTCACTATGAAAGAGAAGGCTCTATATTTAGTAAGTTTATATATTCTATTGGAAGATTGAGTGGAAAAAAAAGATATGCGATTGAAAGATGTTTTTCATTCAAACAAATATTTATTTGTAAAAATGTGTACACTCCTTAGAGTAAAATGGTAAAGTGATCCTCTAAGTAATATTTATTTATAGAATATTTACAGATAAACATAAATAATTTTAAAAACTGAAGAATATTGATGATGCTGTAGTATTCATAACATTAAAATACAATGAAAAAGATAAACAAAAAGCACATGCTAATAAAAACTGAATTTACTATTTATGTAAATTGTTAATACAAAATAAATCATAAAATTTAATGGTACTTATGAGCATGGTCTCTATGGACTGCTATCTGCTAATATTTATAACCTGAACACTGATAATTGTGATAAGGCACTTCATCTTCCCCTCAAACTTCATTTCATGGCTTTCATCACAATATTTCACCTTCGCAATTATCTCAGCATCGTGAAAATATTTGATAGCCTCTTCTTCTGAAGACAGCAATTCCCACAATGTAATAACATTCATTTCAATAACGCACATGCAACTGCTCATACTAGATAAAAAGGCAGGTTATGTGATGTAACAAAATATAAGATAAGAAGGGAGGTTTACCATAGACCAGGTCGCTCACAAGTACCAATTTAATTATACAATATTAAAAATAAAAGTAGGACATCCACAATCTGTGTCCTCAAAGGTGCAAAAACTTAATTAACCACATGATGGCTAGAAGAGAGATATTGAGCTCCATCCAAGACATAATATGTCATTGTAACTATGGCTTAGATCACACTGATTAGAATTTAACTTATTTTTTTATTGGATTCTTCCTACCCACCATTTCTGGTATACAGGGGAACGGGGTTGTTCTAGAGGTACAACCAAACCTCTGTTTGGTTATCTGTAGCAATAACCAGAGTGGGAGAGTCAAGTTTCATTCCTCGGATTCCCCCAAAATAAAAGTCAACCCCTCTCAGGCCAGAATCGAACTGGTGTTGCTAGGCGCGAGAATGTAAAACGGGCAACGTTCTAACACACTCAGCCATCACAAGCTCAATAATAGAATTTAACTACATCAAAGGCTGAAAAAAAATTAACAATACTGTTTCCCTGGGCTGAGCAGCTGCTTACCATTGAATTAGTTTTTTTTTATCGCAACAAGGCTAAACAAGTTTCTGTTTTGACATTATGGCCCTAAGAAAAGAATTTGTTTTGTTTTTTTTATCAAGGATAAATGGTTACTACTTAATAGTCCTAAGATATGTAATTTAATAAATCGTTTAAGGTTGTATTTATATTTAGATTAGCAGCTTATTACTTGATAGGTTAGATCATTTGTTGTTAACTGTATTACTTTTAGAATAATTGGGTTCAGTCCACAGACCTTTAGCCAGGGGGAAAAAAGCTGTAGCATTTTAAGCAAATTTTCAACCTTACGATGGTATTCCTGTTAGGTGTGCTCATCTGCCAGCTCAATTTAAAGTTTCAGTGGCATTTGAACCCATCCAAATGTTAAAAATTTAGGGGCATATTAAGAAAATTTTCTGTTGCTCCCGCTACGATACAGTTTTGAATAATGCATCATTACAAAGAGGATAACATGCTGAGCATTTCTCTCGTGTACAGCATGCAGGTAAGAATTTTAGTTTCTGAGATATTTTAATTCATAACTTCAATAAAACTTTTTATCAGTTGGTCTTCGACACAATTTTTTCCCTGTTTGCCTCTCAAACACGGCAGCGCGTTAATATACAATTTTGAACAATACACCATTACAAAAAGGATAAAATGATAAACATTTCTCTCACTTACAGCATGCAAGTCCGAATTTTATTTTCTGAAATATTTTAATCCATAATCAATTGGTTGACTCACAAAACCCGCCTATGGATTAAAATACCTCAGAAACTAAAATTTGGAAATGTATACTTTAAGCAAGGGAAATGTTTAGAATTTCATCTTTTTTGTAATGGCGTATTATTCAAAATTTTATCTTGACACAACGCTGTGTTAGAGAGGTGTAAGGGAAAAATATTGTCGAAAACCAACTAATAACAAGAATTATTGATGTTTTGTAATAGCATATTATTCAAAATTGTATCTTAACGCAACCAAGAGAAGATTTTCTTAAAATGCTCCTGAAACCTTAAATCGACCTGTCGTGAGCTCACATTCCAGCATTTTCGTAATACTTAACAGAGGTGCTATCAGCCTGTAAGTTTGAAAATTTGCTTAAAATGCTATGGCTTTTTTGGTCCTGGCTGCCGGTCTATCAGATTAGTATTTCATTTTAACATGTACATCTGTTTAAACATGTTTGTAGCCTTAAAATATTAAAAAATGTTATGAACAATGGGGAAATGAGTTGACAGAATAATTGATTGCTTTATTAAAGAATTTTATCAATATTATTTATAAATTAATTAATCTGAAGTAAAATCTAATACAGCTTTTCAAATTAATATACAAAAATGATAAGTTCTAGTTCCTCCATTCTATCATTGAAATAATTCAATAGTTCCTCAATCACAATTGTCACTCTAAACAACTTGAAATACATATCAAAATTTATTTAAAATAAACTATATGATTAAATTTACAAAAAATTGCAAAACAAAAATAATTCCTGATGACTAAAAATTTGATTATAAAAGTTTGAGATGACCAGTTACTTCATTGACTAATTCTTCAGATCCTGGGCCAATTCCAAGAACAGCAATATCATTTTTCTGGTAAGAATTTTCTTCTAATATTTGCACAGAAACTAAGCCTAACCTTTCAGCTTTTCTGTGAAGGCACAGCATTTCTTCATTTTCATTTTTATCTAGCTTTAAAGCAATCTAGAAAATAAAATTATAAATAACTAATGAAAGTAAACGTATAAACAAATTTCTTTATATAATAAATTTATATTATGTAGGCATCCTCGCGCGGGCTCATTACCGCGTATGAGGAGCGTCCCACGGGTGGCGGATGTGGGGATGGTCGGTGGAAATTCCTCCCGGCTAAGTCCAATGGATTTGCTGGCCAACAATGAGAGGGGCCCTCCAGGCTTGCTGGAGGGAGGGGACCTCCAGACTTGCTGGAGGTAGGGGCCCACCAGACTTGCTGGAGGGTGTGACGTAGGATTGAAAGCCCTACTCACATATATTTAGTTCACCAAACACCACAAATAGTCATGGATCATCCTAAGGTAAAACGCTCATTATCCGGAGGTAAACTAGTCACCCGTTCGGGTCTCCGGGTGGGGACTGCTTTAGGGGATTCATGACGCAAGTTGAAATATAGGGATTTAAATATTGGTACGTGCAACATAAGGAGTTTAAACACAGCAGGGGGGCTATAATCGGTCGCGAATGAGGTAAATGGGTACAATTTGGATGTCGTGGCTCTGCATGAGGTTCGCTGGCCAGGGGAGGGCTCGATGAGGGAAGGAAAGTACACTATTTGGTACGGAGGAAGCGGGAATCATTGTTTAGGTACCAGGTTCCTAATTAGGAGTAGATTACTATCCACTTTGAGGGACGTACAATTCTTTAGTGATAGAATTTCGGTAGCTATATTTCAGGGACGTTGGTTTAAAATCGCATTAATAAACATACATTGTCCGACCGAAGACAGAGACGATGAAGTCAAAAGTGAATTTTACGATAAACTAGAATGGGTTTATGATAAACTACCGCGAAGCTACATGAAAATAATTGTAGGTGACGCGAACGCAAAGGTAGGAAGGGAAGAAGTTTATATTCCGACAATTGGTAAAGAGAGTTTGCACGAATATAGTAATGAAAATGGGGTCAGTCTGATAAATTTTGCCATCTCGAAAAACCTGATAATTAAAAGTACGACGTTTAAACATAAGGATATTCATAAATATACTTGGACACCACCGGATTCGCAAACACGAAATCAAATCGATCATGTCTTGATACAACACAGCTGGCAAAGCAGTATAATTAAGGTACGGTCTTATCGCGGAGCAGAATGTGGGTCGGATCATGAATTAGTAATCGCGAAACTTCGACAAAAACTTAATATAAAAAAGAGAAAAGAAAAACGTTTCTATTTTGAAAATTTTAATTTGGAAAAATTAAAAAATCCATCAATTAGAAACCAATTCGAGCTAGATGTAGATTGCTTAAACATCTGCGAAAAACGAAAGCCACTAAATTAAAAGCTCTAAATAATCCTAGCGAAGACAATCTGGAATACTTCCGAACCTCAAAGAACGAAACGAAAAAATTGCTCAAAAATAAAAAAGGGGAGTATCTTAAAAATAAAATAATTGAAATAGAAACTAATAGAATCGAAAATAACGTAAGAGACATGTACAAAGGTATAAACAGATCACGTAAACGTGTAGGGCCCGTAACGTCTGGAATTAGGGATGATAATAACAATATTCTGACCGATCCGTTTGACATTTTGAATAAGTTTAAGGACCACTTTGACAATATTTTAAATACGGGAAATTATGATCTGTGTCCTCCTTCTGAGTACCAGAGTGCTGAACCGTTAATAGAAGGACCAAGTAAAGAGGAAGTTGAAGTAGCTATCGGAAAATTAAAATCTTATAAAGCAGCGGGAACCGATAATATTCCTACTGAACTAATTAAGGCATGCGGGGAAGCTGTAGTTTGTAAAATACATCGGTTGGTTAAAAAGATCTGGGTGAACGAGAAATTACCTGAAGAATGGAAAGAATCTATTCTTATTCTGATTCACAAAAAGGGTCCTAGTTCAGATTGTAATAACTATCGAGTAATTTCACTCCTTCCGGCATGTTATAAAATATTTACTTTAATCTTAACCAGTCGAATCACGGAATACGCCGAGGAAATTATCGGAGACTACCAATGCGGATTTAGACGGAATCGTTCGACTATTGATCAAATATTTTCTTTACGGCAAATATTAGAGAAAAAATTGGAGTATAACGGTATTGTTCACCAGCTGTATATAGATTTTAAAAAGGCTTTCGATTCTATTGACCGCCAGAAACTGCATAATATTCTAATAGAGCAGGGGATTCCAAAAAAACTAGTAAATCTAGTCAGGATGTGCTTGACGGAGACACTCAATAAAGTTAGAATCGGTAATAATTTGTCCGAAATATAAAACATTAATAGAATCTATAAAACAATTATCTTGCCTACAGTTCTTTATGGATGCGAAACTTGGCCGCTTACATTAAGGGGTGAGCAGCGTCTTAGGGTTTTTGAAAATAAAGTATTGCGTAGAATATTCGGACCGAAGAAGGATGAGTTAACGGGAGAGTTCAGACGGTTACACAACGCCGAATTGCGTGAGCTGTATCCGGGTAATATAATTGAGGTAATTTCATCCCGGCGAATCAAATGGGCTTGTAAAGTTGCTGGGCTTAGTAACGAGAGAATTCCTAAAAGGTTAATATTTGCTGTGCCGAATGGTAAGCGTCGGAGGGGTAGACCCAAGCTAAGGTGGGAAGATTGCATTAAAGCCGATCTGAAGGGACTGGGTTTGGACGGCGAACGGTGGAGGGAAGTGTGTAACAAGCGATTGGTGGTGTTGGCATCCAACCTTCGGGTTCGCTAAGCCTTTTATTATCATTATTATATTATGTAGGCAAAATCCAGTGACTAATGTGCTCATAATTTAAAATCATAGTTTTGCCTCATCTAATAGCTGTTTTTTTTTTTTTTGTTTGTTCTTCCCTACCTCGCCTTTTAGGTTATACAGGGATTTTCCCGGGCCGGGGTGGTGGAGGGGGGTGAGGGCAGGGAATTTAAAATCCCTTCTGGCACCATGACAGGAACTCGCCGTTTTAAATCTTCTCAAATCTATAATCCAGTTCCCAGGCAACTCTGGGTGCACATGCTTTAGCCCATTAGGCCACCCTGCCCCAATCTAATAGCTGTGCTCAGAGAATAATGTCAATATTTTTCATACCACTAGAGGGAAAAAGTTTCTTACTGATAATAATCAATTCACTTTGCTATTTTCCCATTAATCAAAAACCATATTTACTTAGTATAATTATGGGCGCAACTATGACTATTAATGAATCCCCCTTGAGGAAGGTGGATTTCACAGATAGCCTATAAGCAGTACACCTGGAGGATGCCACAAGAAAAAGGATACTGTCACCTCCAAGTGATAATTAGCGAAAATAAGGTATTAAATACATTGAACAAGCAACAGAAAATGTAAAGTATGAACAAAAATTAACTAAGTTTTTCAAAAAGTAAAATTGGCATTTCTTTTAATAATACATATTTTAACCTAAGAAAGAAAAAAAAATTAAAAACCTGTACCACCACAATCACTGGGGAGGGAGCAATTTTGGGTTAAGTACTTTGCAAGGAAATTCTATTCCAAGGCCAATGATTGAGCAGGGCAGGAAAGTGATCAGACTGAAATCACGCTTAAGTTCAGTTCACCAGGTATTCCCTCTAAATTATTTAAAGAGTGAAAGTTCCCTACGGCATCCTCATCCATAAATTCCTTTTAACAACTCTTATTCCACCACTTCTATTTAATATTCACTGGATTTTTTAATTACAATAGCTCATAAACGATTAATTGTAAAGTGCCATTTGATTTGATTTTTCTTTTGTAAACTATACTGTATTATTCAATGAACTGTGCAATTGCATTTGCAATTAACAGTTTAATGATAAGTATCTCTTTGTATTTTGTCAAGCCAGACCAATGGACTTAATTTTTTGAACTTGGCTATCATTCTTAGAGAACTTTAGTCTTAGAATAAAATTCCTTTTTCCATTTCACTTAATAGAGGTTAGATGTACCCCAGGAGGTCTCCTGTTACCAGGGTCGAACCACAACATATAACATACATTTGTTATACATAATATAACATTACAAATAATTAATACATGATTTCCACAGCAGGACTCTTAACTTAACTCACAACCCGGAGGAAAACTCCAGTTCCTTACTGACTGAGCTACTCTAATCTCACATTTTAAATGAAACTTGGAGCTTAATTTGTCCTATACATGTGAGAAAAAAAACTTCCCTTTTACAAAATAAAATCATTTGAGGAAAAGCAAGCATTATTTCACAGATACACAAATAAGGCAGAACATATTTGAAAATTTATTACTAAGGAAGCAGCAACTTAACATTTAATAAAGGCCAATGCTGTAAATAATTATATTTTTTTTGTTTAAAAATCTGTTAAGAAATGAATTTGTGGAGCTTAGTGTTGTTTAATGTAATATAACCAAAACATTGAAATGATCAATAGCAGATTAGAACCTGTTTCAATTGTTACAAAGATAGTTCAAGCACGATTGTCATGTTGGATCCTAAATGTGAATGTATTACTCAATAAATTAAAATTCACAAACCTTTGGTTGACTATTCTTCTCCCAAATATTAACAGCATCAGGATACTTTAATTTAGCTTTTTTAAAACATTCTAATGCTGCCCGAGAACAATGTATAGCAGTTTGAGTTTTGTTTTTCAAAATATCAGTCCTTACAACCATCACAATTTTATAATTATTACTTTTTAAGTTTTTTGAAGGGTTCCTGGTGAATATAATGAATCCTACAAAACCTAATAGGAACCCAAGAGTAACACCCTGAATAATAGTTGTATCCATCAATCCTTTTCTTTTTGTTTCCTATGTTCCTCGATGCAAGCTTGAAAATCCTTCACCTTACTTTGACACTGTCGCCAGTCACGCGTTTCAGCAACACATAGCTGCAAACAAACAACTTAACAATACTTGTTCATAAACTGTACTTCTATTAAATAGCTAATAACAGAGGTACCAAACTTTTTAGCCTGCGATAGGGCTAATCTATGGAGTAAACCTAAACATAAAACTAACACAATTATAGTTTAAGTATTAATTTTCATTATATCTATGTAAGTATATGCTTGTATTGTATATATGTATAAACACACTGCCTCAAAAAAGCTTCCAAACAGTTAATTTTTCTACCCTTCCTAATCTACCTTTACTACCCTTCCTGATTAGTAAAAATAATATACTTATTATATTATTTGTATTAATCAGGAAGGGTAGTAGAGGCAAATAGCAGTGTATCAATATGATAACAAGTTTATGCTGGATCACTAATCCCATAGCAGGAAGAGGTAAAACTTAATCTGAAGGTCAAAAAAGTTTACATACATCTATAATAACCTGTAACCTGTACCACTACCCATGAAGGATTATGGGTTCAGTACAATGTAAGGAAGTACTGTTATAAGGCCAATGGTTGTGTAGAGAGGACACGGGCCAATATCACGCTTAACTGCCTGATTTTCCCTCTTAATTAATTATTGAAATTAAGAGTACCCACTTTATAGAGACTGGGTTTGCCCCAGGAGAACCTCCCGGCCCCTGGGTCCGGCTGATGAAAATTACTAGGCATCAGCCGGATTCGAACGTGGGACCTTGAGCTCTGGAAGTTGTTGCTCACCCACTGAGCTGCACCGCTCCCCACATCTATAATATCTTAATTCTATTTATTCAATGCCATTATTTTGCTCAAATTTATTATCTGAACACTGTATTTAAGTTTTAGTTAAGGTTCAGCCAACTTCAAATCATCATTATGCTAATTAAATCTCATTCTGCCAATAGAGCTGCTTAAGAGATCTTCTTAAATTCAAACACCATGATTTTTCACACCCCATAGTAATTCATCCCACAAATGTTCTATTGGCTATTGGGAAGGAGTGTGCAACTGTTTTGGAACATTGTCCATTAACCATCGTTTTATTTTCTTGTCAGTGTGCTCTGTTTTCTTGTCTGTGTTTTATTGCTCTGTTGAATAATAAACCCCATAATTAGTTTTTCAGCAGAACTTTTTAAATTGTTCCTTAGAATTTTTAACAATATGCACTGGTCCATAATTCTATCAATAAAAATGACATTGACAACTTCTAAAGCACTAATACATCCCCATAGCATTACACTTCCACCTCCAGGATTGAACGTTCGGTCACAAATTCTTTGAAATAAGTGCTTCTTTGTCATTTCTCCAGAAATGACACCTGTCATCTGGTACAAAAAGGTTGAATTTGGATTCATATGAGAAGAACACAAAATCCCTGAAACTTTCTGTCTTATTGGCTTACTCCATGGTGCCCACCTCTTCTTATTTGTTTGGTTTTTATCATGCTATTTTTCAATGAAAATCTTTCTCAGAACATTCCTGACAGTTTCTGGATTTACACATATCTCGTAATCTCTTTCAAATTCACTGGCTAAGGATATTACACCTACTTTAGAATAGTCCTTTGAATTCTATCCAATTTTATTTGGGGTAATGAACGAGAGCAGTCCTCCAATGATTTTAATTCACTGTGTCTGTTTAACAGGTGCTGCACAGTTATTATAGATGCATGTAAACTTTTTTGACCTTTAGATTAAGTTATACCTCTTCCTGCTATGGGATTAGTGATCCAGCATAAACTTGTTATCATGTTGATACACCTTTGCCTCTACTACCCTTCTAGATTAATAAAAATAATATAATAAACAGATTATTAGCAATGTTATAGGAAAACTAATTGTATGGAATTTTTTTGATATATATATATATATATATATATATATATATATATATATATAATTTGGCCTTGAAAAGGTAGTGAGGTGACCCCTAGCATATATCATTGGAAGAATAACTAAAAATATTATGGCTAAATAGGAAAGCATGCGTTTAAAATATTGATAATAATAAACCAATGTTACTCCATCAGAATACATGGGCATAGGATCCATGATCACATTGTAGATGAAGATCCAAAAATGCCCAAGTGTCTGAAAGTAAATGGGACCTCTTGTTTGAGCTCGGACCTCAAACTGGAAAGGAACTATTAGTTTATTTCTTTTGTGCGAGTAGAAGTAGAAATCAGTGACATAATTCAAGACCTCTATTTTAACTGAAAAAGATCAGAAGGGGGTTTTCAGTGGTAAATTTAAATTTAATTACAGAGAGGTTACAATGCAGAATAATGGTATCCAGTGGAGTACAGTATCCAGAGATAATGATCTCAATACTCAGCCATTCTCCAAATTACATAGTATGATCATGAGATCTTGTGCCCACTCATCACACAAACATATGAGTACAAGACTTGTGAAGTAGTATCAGGGCCAGAATCAGGATTTTTTTGAGAGGGGCAAGCTTAATTTTAGGCCACTTTCTTTCACCTCCTGCCAGCCTCTCAATAAGTCAGTACTTAAGGTATTGTATTTAGAAGTAAATATAATCAACAGATAATATTAACTCATATGAATGAGTGACAGGTCAAAACAACCAAAAATTAGAAATATTTTATAGTTGACCTAAATGTTTTATCGAAATTTGCAGCTCACAGGATGTTCCCCCATTGCCCCTCTCTAGATAAAATAAAACACCAAGAAATTTGGTAAATAAACCTGTATAAATAGATTTCTATCTGCTATTTATAAAAACAAATACCTATAAAACCTGCTATTAATCAGGTATTCCACTAATCAGTTTCCCCTTTCTTGTTTATATTATTACACAAATGAAATGAGCAAAAAACTACAATAATTCACCTTAATAGGATCAATAACCTGTATTAGAACAGTTTTATAACCTCCAACTTACGGATTATCCTTACGTTGGAAACCTTTACTTATCCTTCTGATAGATAGGTTACTTAAAAAAGTTAGGATAATGTGATAACAAATATTGCTTTTGTATTTTATATCCAGAAACATGACGTTCAAATTAACTTGATATTCATCATAGGGATTTATCAAAGAACTAAAAAACCGGTTCAATAAAGTAAGTACGACTTACTTGTACTTGGTAAAGTAATTCTGCGCACCCTGTTTTCTTTATCAAATTATCAACAAGGTCAATTTCTTCCTTTTCACTCATTGTATGATACGACTATAGTATCTTATTGATTATTATTTTTTAATTAATTAATTTTATAGTATGAGCAACACCTATGGTTATTTTTCTCAATGACATTCAAAATTATTCTCTCCTGTGAAGTTTGTGCATTAGCAAGTTTTTCAACGTTCAACCAGCATAAGGTTATCTTTTCCCATCACGCAGCTACTGTTGTTCCTAGATCTGGTAGCTATTCTGTACTGGTTATTAGAGCAATTAAATATTTTATTTATTTTCTCTAATGTTATTATTCTATGATAATTATTGAGAAAGTAAATTACATAAATGATTAACCAGATGTTTTGAATAAATTATCTGTTTCACTTTCTGAAGGATATCTTATCACTCCAGACTGGCTATTGGTTATTTATGATATCTGTATGATAAAGTAAATTGTGATAAAGAACTTAAGTTCGACCAGAATTTTCTCATATTCATAATTATTTAGTTTTCAGAGAAAATCGATAACAGCTTAAGAATGAAAGAATAAAAATATTTTAAATAAAATGGTTATATTATTCTTACAATCTTTTTTTGTTATATTTCATTTTTCTGGTCCTATTACTATCTGTAACATTTAATAAGTAGCCAAATAATGCAACATCTAGCATGAAAACATAAGACTACACAATTATTTCCACTATGAAATCACTGTTACATATCCCTTATCCTACATATACTTCCTAACATGTATAGAAAAATAGTTGATTAATTTTTTCAAAGAGGGTGTTAACAATTTATCTTTTATATTATTTGTCTTGATATTAGGTTCATTCAGAATATGTATTAGTTGTTTATATCAGTCAGGGCATGAAAACTAATTCTTACCGTTGCTTAAAAATTATTTATTTTGTTCTTTGTTATTAATTTTTTTAATGTCTTACATACGTAATATACTCTAGGTATTTAGAAATATCTACAGAAAATCAAATTTCTTTTAAAATTAAGGTTTTACTTATTTATTTTTTTAGAAATTCATTGCTGTTACATTTTTCTATCAATCAGCTTGAGCAGTTGAGGCAGTTGTGGTCCAATCTCTTGCCAGGTAACCATAATATCACAATTTTAAAAATATAGATAATTTATGATATACAATCATTTACTGAAATGAAGAACAATGAAATGAAATATACTACACAGTATACGGGAATATCTATGTGGATCTTAATATAAACTTAAAATAATTGGTGAATTGTTCTTTAAACATCTAAGATTTATATCCATATTCGGAATTCTTAGAGATGTCTTTGTCTCATGGTTTTATGAAGAGTTGATGTGACTTTACTCTTTTCATCATCTTAAAGATTTTCTAGCATACTTCTTCTACTGAGTCTTCTAATACAAACATTACCATAATTTTTTTAACTTAAATTCAAATTCTCTGTTCATTACTTTAATAATTATTCTCAGTTTTCAGACTTATCTGCATGGGGCTACCAATAGGTGTTTCATAATCTAATCCTCAAAAAAGTTATTAAGGTTGATTAACTATTCAAAAAGCTCTAAGAAATATATGATTTTATTATTGCTGTTTAAATATTTAATACAATGATACATTCCCTGGAACAGCTGATAAGTAGGCAAATAATGCAACATAGGGATACTGTAATGAGACTTATCAATTCAATCCTAACTTCAAAATATATTAAATAATATTTAGTATAAGTTGAATGAGGGATAGGAGTAGCTCAGTGGTAGGGCTATGACTTCCAAAGCTCAAGTTCCTGGGTTCCCAATCCCAAGTGTATTCCAGACCCTCCTGAAGACTATAGACTGAACCCAAGATGCTTCAGGAGTTGTAGTGGTACAGGTCTTTTTCTTTTTTTTATTTGTTATACAAGATGACAAGTACTTAGAAATGTTTCTCATTTTAATTTGTTTTTTCCCTCTCTATCCTTCCTTCTGTATAGGACTTTCCTGAATCAGCGTAGAGGACATGAAATTAATCCAAAAGTTAACTGCCCCAGGCTACAGGACTCGTACCTCATACTCGTAATCTTCAGTTTATCAGGCAACACATTTATTGCAAATACGTATGCTCACTCAGTCACCTACCCCCTCCCCCCTCCTCCTTATTTTACATTATCTATACAACATTTCTTGAGCCTTGAATGTTTGAATCCTTCAAAAGCCAATTCCAAATCATGTAGCTCAACATTGTTTCCCTGTATGATATAATAATTTCCTCATAAAGTATCAAAGTTAGGAAGCATCCATTATTGTAGATTATACAAAAATTGTGGTGTTGTAATGATTCTTCAAATAAAGAAAAATATTTTGCAGAAGTCAGTCAATAACCATGATAAATAAACATTAATGCAGACATTTTGCTCATACCAATTGTGCTGTTGAAGGTCTAGAGCGATATGAAACGACTAGACTGTTATAGTAACCAAATAGTTCTTATTTATTAGTTAAAAATGTTATTTATTTTATAATAACATATTTCTTTTTTTTATAGTTTTAATGTTTATCGAATAAAACAAATATATTTCTATTTTCTAGTTTTATCGTTTATTGATTAAAACAATCATTTTAAGCGGTGAAGATATTTAATACTTCTCTGATTTTTAAAATTTCTTTTTTTTTAGATCTGTAGTTTTTTATTTCATGATAGACAAGAATATTTTCCATTCTTTTTTTTTTTTTGCCCTCATCAAATTATATTTCACTTTTTAAAATGATCTAATTTACTTTATTTTAAATTATTAAATAAAATATTAAAAATAATATTGCTTACTTTACAGCATTATAAAATTTCATTATTTAACTAGCAATTATTAGAAACCTTTCATGTTAAGAATATAATTGTTTCTTTGGTTTTGTATTTGTTAATGATAAGTATAATCTAATCAATCAGTGATACGAGGCTAGATGTCCATTATCCCCTCCCAATGACTTATCCTTAATTTTCCTTTTTGGTTATCTCCAGGCTAACTTTTTGATATCAGGTGTAATGTGACATTATAGAAGTTGAGAAGAAATCATTAATTGTTTCTCGTATTCTAGTAAACAGTTAAATTTAGGGGACAGTATTCCATTCAAGGTGTGTTTTTTTCTTTTTTATCTATTCGTTGTTTGTATTAAATGCTTAGTTGTAACTCATGAGATGGAAATTTTCAGGATAACATTATACATTGTTTTATTTGTTTTATATATATATATATATATATATATATATATATATATATATATATATATATATATATATATATATATATTTATAAATACAGGATGTCCCATAAGTAATGAAAAATATTTCAAGAGATGATAATAGACCTCAAAAGATACAAAATATATCTTATAGAACACACAAATGAGCAGAGAATTAAGTTGTGTTTTTTAAGTAAATCAAGGTTTTTATTAAATATAAAATGATAACTAAAAATATTTCATTTAGGTAATTACCAGTTGCTTCAAAGTAAACAAGATTAATTTTCCTTCAAGTAAAAATAGAATTTCTCTAAAACTATTTTAAGAGGACTTTGGAACAGCCATACTATGATATGTTCTATTTTTCACAAAGCTATGGGTTATTCATGACTTTTTTTTTTCATTAGCCTCCTGCTGGAACATTCATAGTTTCTATTCCACAAACACTCAAACACTGTGACTTACTTAAGATAACACCTAACTTCCAATTTCTATGAAGTATCATTGTTTATATCGTGTTTTTTGTAGATCTTGAGGTCTGATATCCCCTCTTTAAATATTTTCTATTACTTATGAGACTACCTGTATGTATATCAACAAAATATATTTTTCTTTCCTTCTATATATGGTGGGTACCGAAGAACTTCAGGTTTTAATTCTTAAGAGTTTTGCTTTGTTAATCTTTAAATGTATCATCATTAAAGATGTGACAAATTGCTATATTATCAGAAAATATATTTGTTATTAAATTCATTGAATTGAAAACTCGTATCTGATATTGTCTATTTATTTAAATTGAACATCATTTTATTTTTTTAATATTTTGCCCTTGCTGTAAAGAGGGATGTTGCCAGTGGGGGACATGCCTAACTATTCTTACAACCAAGCGGGCTACTAAAACCTTTTGTAGAATTTCCTGACACTTTGAAGTCATCTTTTGAAAATGATTAGCTTATATTTATCATTAACAAATACAATACCATACAAAGAATTATATTCTTTAACACATGTTTACATAAATATATAATTATATTTATAGAGGAAGGCATGGTTGCCAAAGACCTTTAAATTTAATCATGCATATTTTTTCAATTTTCAAGTTGTGATTTTGAAAAAATGTTCAAAGTTAATTTGTATATTACATTAAAGAATTCATACATAATAATAGAGAGAAAAAAAAAATGCTGTAACATTCTAGACACGAACAAATATATAATTATATATTTCATACTTCTAAAATGTTATTTGGCACTAAATGGCAAATTACTTTATATACTAGTTTAAAATTGACTGTCAGGAAGTAATGTAAAAGATATATGTGTGTGTATGTATGTATATATATATATATATATATATATATATATATATATATATATATATAATTGGTACAATATTCATCATTTTAAATACTGTTGTCTGCAATTTAATGGAGTAATTTTTATGACAAGAACAAATCTAAAAAAAAAAAAAAAAAAATTAACAGCTTATCTTTGGTATTTAAATAGGAATGTCAAAGTAGTTCATTTGACATTAAAAACACTAGAAACATCATCTATGACAAACACTTATAAATTTTTGGGCCAAACATTATTTTAAATACTACTAATTTCCTTTATTGGCAGAGAAATGATTTCTTTATAAATAGTTTTAATACATACCTAATTAAAAGAAAATCATAAAAATAATTATTTATTACAGAAAACTAATGAACACACTGTAATACATTATATCAACAGCACATTGCAAAAGCCTGTTTGATCCTAATTTCTGCCAAATAATCTTTTAGAGCCATTACTTCTAACTGATAGGTTTTTAGTTACTTTGAAAAACAGATATTAGTTAGATAAAAGCTATCAAATTTATTGTAGTAACACCCATAACTTAGTTAATAATGATCAAAGCATGACAAGAACAAAGTCAGTTTCCAAAATGTAGAGAAAAGATACTTCAAATGATAATCTATAAAAAAAAAAATTGGCTGGAAAGCGAGTATTGGATCACACTGGTTATTCACTTTTTTGTCTCGAACTGTAGGAGCAGCTTGAACGGAGTGCATGCTCCCCATTTTGGAGTAGTCTATAAAAGATTCGGTTTTGATGGAGTCAATTTCATATTGACGTGGTTTGCTTGGTAAGTTCTAGGTAACACGCTGATGTGTAGATCACTTCGTTTCTGAGCTTCTTGCGATTTCAAAGATTCATTGGTTTGAAAAGATGAAACCTGAGTTATTTTTTTGTCTCGAGTTAAATTTTCCAATTAATGAAATCAATTCTCTGTCCATCAATATTTTGAGTTCGGCTGCATTGTAGCTTTTTTCCAGTCAAGCTAATTTTGCAGTTGCTAGGATGTTTTGAAGGCTGCTCAATTTTATATTCCCACTTACCACTCTTCTTTGCTACGTCTAGTTTCATAGTAAGCAGTGCCACTTTCAGAGTAGTGGAACCCGTACAATTGCCCAGAAGCGCTGGGCTGGAAGTGCCTGACACTTATTAGAAATTTAAAAAAAGAATACACAGCGTATGAGAAAAATTAATTTTTGTCTCTTAATAAAGCTGATTGATACTGTACTCTATGTGAAAAACGCTTTATACATTTTGTATTTACATGAACACCTTTCATTGAGCATTTTATTAAGTTTTTTCGGTAACAACACAATCTCTATAACCTTTAGATAGATAGAAAGTAAACTTTATTCTGGGACAAGGTCCCTTATGAATAACAGATATGAACAAAAAAATTAAAACTACATCTGGCCAAAAATTACATTAATCAATATTAAAGAATATATACAGTATCTTCAGTGAAATTAAATTAAAACAAGTAAAAATAAAATAAAATTTTGAGAAAAAACGAAATAAAAAAAACAACATTATTTAAATGAAAATAAAAATAAAATAAAATAAGCATGGGTTGATTTTTAAAATTAAAACAATAAATTTTATCAATCATTCACCTCAGTCAAAATCTGTTTCACAATATTTATTTTATTGTATAACGTCATTTTGGGATGTATGAAGGAATTGGTAAAGATGATATTTAAATGAGGACAAGGAAGAGGCATGACGGATTTCAGATGGCAAGGAATTCCAGAAGGCTGTGGATCGGGAAATAAAGGAATATTCAAACGTCTTAGTTCTATGGGAAGGGATATAAAGGTCGGAAACACGGGATCTTGTTTTCTGGGAGTGGACCACGGGTTTAAACTGTATGAGACTGTAGATGTAAGAAGGGTGTCTAGTGTTGATTGTTTGGAATAGGAAAGATCCGAGGAAATATTGTCTGCGGAAAGAAGGGAAGAGCCACTTTAACTCGTCGTAAAGGTGGGACACATGAGATCGCTTTGATGTACCGAAGACAAATCTTAAGCACGTATTCATGAGTCGCTTCAATCTATCCTCGAGTACCATCGGGATGCCTCCGTACACCACACAGCCGTAGTCAAAGTGGGGGAAAATGAGAGAGGATACAAGGAGCTTGCGGATGGGTTGTGGGAGTAGGTGGCGGGAGCGATGAAATAGCTTAAGGGTACCTATTGACTTACGGGAGATGAGGGCAATATGGGGTTTCCAGGAGAGGTTTTCGTCTATGGTGATTCCTAGGTTTTTAACGGATGAACTGAATGTGACAGGATGATCGTTGATGACTAAAGGAGGAAGGAAGGAGATGGATTTAAGAATAGGACTGGAACCTATAATAATGGCCTGAGTTTTCATCGCATTTAGATTTAAATTATTCAGACTTGCCCAGGCACTGATCCTATCTAGGTCAGCCTGAATATTGGCGAACGCGACTAGTAGCTCAGAAGGATGAAAGGAAAAATATATTTGGGTGTCATCAGCGTATAAATGATGTGAACAGTGGTAGATGGATTTGGAAAGATCATTTATGTAGGAGTTGAAAAGGAGAGGGGAAATGCTCGAACCCTGGGCCACTCCAGAGGACAGTGTAAGAAAGGAAGATAGGGGTTGGTTTGGAATGCTGACTGCTTGAGTTCTGTCGGATAGGAAAGACTGTAACCAGAGGATAGAGCTGTTGGAGAAGGATAGAGATTTTAATTTAGTATAGAGTATAGAGTGGTCTAAGGAGTCAAAAGCTTTGGAAAAGTCGAGAAGTATTAATACAGTTAACATTTTTTCGTCCATTGCGGTATGTAAGTCATTGGTAATTTTTAGTAGGGCGGATTGTGTGGAGAAGCCAGGTCGGAAACCAGATTGGAGAGGATCGAGTAGTTTTGAGTTTTCAAGGAATTTAGAGATTTGGGATTGAGCTATTCTTTCCAGAGGTTTAGAAAGGTTAGAAAGAATGGAGATTGGGCGGTAGTCTTTAGGAGAGGTAGGATTGGGAATTTTGTTGATAGGTCTGACTAATGCTTTTTTCCAAGCAGTTGGAAAAACTGAGTTCTGGAGGGAAAAATTATAGATGAAAAGGAGAACTGGAACGACTTCGGGAAGGCATAATTTTAATAGTTTGACTGGTATCCCATCAAGTCCGATGGAGTTTGTGTGTGATTTCATTATAGAGGAAATAAGGTCGGTCGGTGAAATGTTGGAGAAATAGAAATTATCGCTGTTAAATGAGGGTGATAAGGAAAACTGGTGAGAGGTGGGTGAACTGTTGCTGGTGGTGGAAGATATAAAGTAGGAATTGAGTTCATCGGGTGATACCGGGTAGAACGGTGAGGAAGAGGATTTACAAAGAGAGAGTTTACGAAGGGTTAGCCATATTGATTTAGAATCAGGAGCAGAAGCGAGAGTTTCGTGAAAGAAGTTTGATTTCGCTTTCCTGATCGTTGTTTGTGTCAAGTTACGGAGTACCCTATAGACTTGATAGTCATCTGCTAGTCGAGTTCGTCTGAAGCGTCTACGGGTTGCCTCACGTCTCTTTTGCATGTCACGGATTTCTTGACACATCCAAGGAGCAGGTTGGCGACGGAAGGTTGAGGTTTTGATAGGAGCATGTATGTCAAGAATATGGATAAGATTAGAAGTGAGGATGTCTACCATATGATCAATAGAGGTACAGGAATAAATATCGTTCCAGTTTAGGGTTTCAAGGTCCGGTAGGATTTTATCACGGGTGAGGTTGTCAAGATTGCGGAAAGTTATGGTTTTAGGAAGAAACGTGGGAGTTTGGATATCGTACGATAATTTGATGAGATCATGAGAAGAGAGGAAAGGAACGGGTAATTGAGAACAGGACAAGAGTTTCTGCTCTGAATCGATGATATGCAAGTCCAGCCAGGTGTCAGACCAACAAGTATGGTGTGTAGGAGCGAAAGGAACAATAAAAAGGTTGAGGGAGAAGAAGAGATTTTCCAAATAGCGTTTGTTGTTGGATTCTGTGAGGAAGTTGGTATTAAGATCACCGGAAATTATAATGTTATTATAGAAAGGGACATAATTGTACAAGGTTATGTCCTTTACTATTTACTTAACTTTACTATAACTTAACTTACGATATTTACGATTACTTAACTTTACTATAACTTAAAGTTTTTTACATCACAATTTGCTGGTTTTTAAATTACAGGTTTTTAAAAAAGGCTATAGAGAGGAAATAAAACATTTTAGATTTCATTTTGTGGGATCAAAATAAGGGCCAGGACAAGATTGATCAGAAAGGCTCAAAACCTAATTTTTCATAGAAATTTTTAGAGGATTTTGCAGTGTGGCTGTTGATATACTAATGTACTTATCACTGTTATATAAAAATTTTGTGACAAACAATAATTCTGAATCATAACAGCAAATTTCTGTTCATGTCCCCTTGCATTTAAAATTTCCTTACTTCCAGTGTAATTTTATAAAATTTCCTGACTTTTTCAAGTCCTTTAGAGATCATTTACAATCTAATACTTATTGCTTTATTCATGAACATATTCACAGGTTGTCACAGTATCTCTTTTCATTTACTAATGCATTGTTTAAATTCTTATATTTTATTCAATGAAACTGTTGAAAATTATTAAATAATCTTTAATACTTTTTCATTTTATGATTATAGAAAATTTTAAAAGATGTCAGGCTCAGGTGATAAAACTGACAAACCATTGGTTGGAGTTATAGATGAAGGAACAAGAACAATAAAATTTGCTGTAAGTCAGTTTTCTAGAGGTATTCATTTTACAAATATTTCTATGGTAGTTAAAACTGTCAAGGAATGCAAAAACATAATTTAATTGGTTGTTTTTCTGATGAAATCCTCATTTCATTGAAATATTTTTTCTTATGAAACTTTTATTGGATTGGCAAATAAGTTCTTTCGGTTTTTTAGGGTGAAATAAAACTCAATGTATCATAGACAACATTTATTTTAATTTACAATATATTGACCATTATTTAATGAGACTTTTCCCCATCTTTCCACTAACTGCATAATGCCATGTTCATAGAATGTCTGGAGTTTATTGTTAAAAAACTGATCCAAGTGGTTTTTGATGTCCTCTTCCTTTTGGAATTTCTTTCTATTAATGGAGTTCTGCAGAGACCGGAATAATTGGTAGTCACTTGGAGCTAGGTCTGGTGAATAGGGGGGGGGGGGCAAAAGGTCCCATTCAAGGCACAATAATTTATTGTGAGTGATCAATGAGGTGTGGGGCCTAGCATTGTCTTGGTGGAACACAACACCCTTCTGATCATTCATAACTCTTCGATGTTACTATATCCCTTGGAAAGCTGAATTATTGCTCTTTAAAGCCGTATGAATGTTTTTTTGATTTAATAAAGGAATAAATAAACAAAAACTCCTTATAGATTTTTATTTTTTATCTATATTTGTAGTTTGTTTACGAAGGTCCTGCTGATGTCATTTTGTGTAGTTTATTCCTAAATTCCTGCTAAATTTCTTGTAGATAGCTAGAGTTGTATTGAAGTTATAACATTTTGTGTTAATTTAAAAAAAAAAAATGTGAGGGATCCAAACATTAAGCCTGGAAACATAGCCGAGCTTGTGAAAATGGTTTTCTACGCTTGTGTGCGACACATTTAGGGCCATAGCAATGTCTCACACTGATTGGGTGGGATTTTGATCAACATTGCTCGTTTCAGTTTCATGTAGGCGACCAGACCATTGAGCATCGTTGATGTCATAATTTCCTGAATGAAATTTGGCAAACCAATTTTGACAGGTGCGTTCGGTTAAGGCATCATCCCCATAAATACTGCAAATTTTCTATGAGCTTCTGCAGTTCGCTTACCTTTTTTAAAATAAAACAAAAAAATATGCCGTTAATGAATAATATTTTCTTCTATATTCACAGTGCAATAGCAAACACAATACTAAGCTAGTTTTAACATGAGTTAACAGATATAATTGTTGACATATTATAAACAGGATAAACAATTCACCTTAGAGATTAATTCATCAGATAACAAGTGTATCATAGTGACATAAAAATAAACAGGAAAACCTAAAGGACTTATTTGCCAACCCAATATATGTTAATTATTGTCTTAAATATTATTTCAATTTATATGTTTATAAATTAAATTGGGTTCAGTAAAAGCTGAAAAACATGCAATAAAAAACTCAAAATGTGCAAAATTGTGTAATAAAACCCCAAAATATTTAAAATTGTGTAATTACACCTAAAACCCTGCCAAAATCATCTAGTTTGTTTAATTTATTGTATTAATACATTAAAATTCAAACAAATCAAATAAAATGTGCAACAACATGGAAATTCGGTCTCTAATTATTATAATAAATCAAACATAATAGATGATTTTTTCAGGTGTTTACAAAATTTTAAATATTTTGTGTTTTTATTACACAATTTTCCATTCAATCTTGTCCTAATATTACATAGACATTGTTCCAATAGCTGAATCAAATATTAAACTACAGCATGCACTGGTGCAATGGGGAGAAGAGATGCTGAGGAAGGGTATTAGAATTAATGCCTCCAACAGGATACGGAAAGAGATTAACAGGAAGATGTCCAATTGGTCTGTAACTGGGTTAAGGAAGGAAGGAATACTACTACTTTTTGACCGTAATTATTAGCTCTGGTAAGATAGACGCCAAGACCTCAAACAGAATATCCAAGGCAAATCAGATATACTACCAGATCACTATAGTACCCTCAGCCACTGTGAAGTGGATAAGTAGAAAAAAAATGCACACAATAAGTCTGTCAATCTATTCTCATCAACAGTGAAGAAAGTTGGACCATGTTGGACAGAAATTAGAGTCGCATAACTGCAGCAGAAATGAAGTTCTTATGTAAATCTATTGGAAATGCTAGTAGGGATCATATTAGAAACGAAACTATAAAATAGCAGCTGGAAGTACCTGAGCTCAAAACCACTTCGGTGAGAAGGAAACTCAAGTGTTATGGATAAGTCTGCTGCATCGATGGATCCTATAAAGTTATTAGAGACTCGACCCACTGGGAGGTCACCATGAGGGCGTCACAGAGTTTCATACCAAGAATTGGTGTTGAATATTAGAAGTAAAAGAGGCTAATCTCTCAACCATATGAAGCAATTAATCAAGGACCGGGAGGAGTGGCTGCATTGGACAGAGGCTCCTCGACGCTAAAAATGGCATGTGAGGAAGATAAAGCAGAGAAAGACTTTCTGCCGTGAATTTTCCATTTGTGCAGTTAATTATTAATAGATATTGAAGTTTTATACAATAAAATTTGGTGCAGTTAACAAACTCAAAACGTGATGTAAAAAACTCTCATGAGTGTTTCTTGGCCTTTCTTATGACTATCTTTCATTCATTGTTGGCTGTTTGGTAAACCCGTTGCTTTTCTTCGCTCTTATTTTGCAAGTAAGCTCTCCAGGCAAGCTTCTTCCAAGCAACTAGCCATTGGAGGTCACTGGTCAACCAGTCTGTCCACTTTCTCTTACCAGATATTCTCCTATTCCAACATATTGCATTTGCTACCTCCAGAAAAAATGACTTCCATATCTTTTCTATGTCTCCCTTGAAAGATATTGTTCTTAATATGTCTTGTAATTTTTCCATATAGATGGCCCTCTTTTCGTGATCATCCAAGACCCTAATATTGAGTGTTATAAATATTTCGTTTTTCTTTTATAGCCTTGAATCATCCTGGTATTATTCACAAGTAGAAAGTGGTTACTGCCTATCTCCTCTCCTCTCACAACCTTGACATCAGTAAAATATTATCTTATGTGCTGATCTTACATAAAATAGTTAATGATACTACTTTGCTTCAAGCATGAGAAAGTAGTTTTATGAATTCTTTTGTTGGTATAAAATGAATTCCCTATTAGGGTTGTCATTATTTGCACAAAAGTCTATTAGCCGCTGTCCATTCTTATTCTTCATATTCTCACCTTCATGCAACTTTAGGACACCATACATGGATCTATAATCATTTTCTGTTCTACCATTAAAATCCCCACTCAGGATTATGAATCTTCCTTAACTTTATCCACTATCCTTTGCAAATCCGAGTAGAATGCCTTCTTGTCTATATAACTGGGTTCAGTGAGTGCATACAACTGAACTGTGGACACCTTACCTGTGAATAATTTAAAGTCTGCTACAATCATTCGCGGAGATACTGGTTCTCATTTATACAAAAGATCATAAATAGTTGGCAATTTTACTAGGCCTAACACTTTCTTGGCAAAATTTCCTCTTGCCTTCATTTCACCACTGCCTTTCTTCTTTACCCCACTTGTACTGAGAATTTCTACTTTATACTAACTCATTTCTTCCACAAGCTTGACCTTTTTCCAAATTAATGTTTCGATTCATACATCTTAAAGCTCGCCAAGTTGATTCTGTGAAGACTGTCCATATCCCCGAGGCTAGGTAAGATTTTCTGAATCTGTTGTACTCCAGACGGGTGATTGGCCTAGTGCTAGAAGTCCCATATCGTCGGGACTAATGGTCCACTGAATACTTAGATCCCTGAGGAGGAAAGATGGCCGGCCTATATACCCCAGTATTGTATCTGTTGGTTCACAGGTCTTTATACAGTATATTCAGACTACTCCTATGAAGAGGGATCCTCCTTCGAATAACTGGGGATCTACTCCCTGGCGTACAGGTTCTGCAAGACAATAACTCAAGATTGCAAATTCGATTTTTCAGTGTACTTGATTTCACTAAAATTTACTCATTGTTTATCTATGACAGTAGTACTTTTCAAGGGCACTCAATGTTCTTATATATGGTGTCTTCAAGGAATATATATTTGTAGTACATCAAATGTCACAGATAACAACTATATTCCTCGTCACCCTTAAATTTTTTGGGGGGAGACAACTAAAAATGTCTTTGGTAAGTTCTCACTTGTTATATGACTAGATAATGAGTGACCAGCATTGTAAATTGAAGTTTAATTGTTATTTGTAGATGACTTGATAATGAGCTAATCAGCTCGAATTTTCATAAAATAAAGTAAAATTTTTAAAGTACAAGGGTTTATATATTCCTTGAAGACACCATATATAAAAAAATCACTCATTGTTAATCTAAGCTTAGTCTTATATATGGATTTGTTCTTATTGCATTTCAGTTATATGAGCCTTTCAATTGATGAAATGACTAACTCCAATTTCAAAATTTTTTATTATTAATTTTAGTGATGTTTTTAGAAGGAAAATGTCTACCTTTATTCACAGTTCCATATTTCAACACTGCAATCACCTAATCTGGAATTAACTTACTCAATGTCTGTTCAGATATTATACATTTTTTAACTAGAAATATCACTAAAATAACATACTGAAAAATGTTGAAATTGGACTTAATCATTCTTTCAATTGAAAGGCATATATATTAAATAACTTTCACGCTTTGAGATGTTTCATTTCCTAAAAGTTCAATTTATTTCAGTGTAGTATTTATGAATGATTTATCTTTGGTATAAGAAAAATAAATTTAATTTATCTCTGATGTATTAACTGTTATTGACATATATTTTATGTATAGTTTGACCTATTAGCTGTAAATTTTGTTGCTTAAAGGTATTCTGGTTGAAATCCTTTATTTTAGATTCACTTTTAGTTCAGGAATACCCCTATCATACTTTAAATTTAATAAATAATCTTAATTTTTTTTTTTAAGATCAATATAG